AGTTTGGAGAGAATCGTCATCGTAGCAATGCCGTGTCTTCTGACCTGTGATCATGGGATACTTGTCATTTATTTAGACCTTTAACTTCCTTCAACAATGTTCTGTAGGCTTCAGGGTGTAGGTTTTGCTTTTATTGGTTAAATGGATTCCTAATTATCACCACACCCGCTTTTGCAAATTCCAGGGTGGTCAGAACTCTGTTCACCCCCCTCACCTTTTGGAGACTTTCCCCAACCTGAAATTCTCCATCTTCTAGATGCCTGTTTTTCACGGTTAGTGCTTACTGATGCCCCGCAGTCAGTAAGCACTTGCTGTCTGTAAGCCCCCGCATGTGGAGCCTCATGTGATCTTCACAAAACCCTCTGTGGGGGGTACTTTCACCACCTTTGTTTTAGAGACGAGGAAACTGGAGCCGTTGGGTGACCTGCTCGACTGTCCACACTTAACCACGTCTGGCCCGAAGCTGCCCCTGGTGTCCCCCTGCCCTGCTTGGGGCTCTGCGCCTTCAGGAGGAAGAAGAGGTGTGGACACATCTTAGGCCTCCTTGGCAACTTGTTCTTTAATCAAAACGTCACAACTTGTGACTCTGTCTTGATTAGGTCCCTCTAGCGGGGGGCCCCCCGACTCCCTGCCTTGTCCCTGATTTTTTAATTTTTCCCCACTCTTCAGATTTCTGGGTCAGATACTTTGAGACTCATTCTTGCTTCAAATGGGCTCGGAGCTTCTGCCTGGCATGAGGGATGGGGCGTCCGGAGGGGCAGTTGGGGCCCCCAAAGTGCAGTGAGGGGCCTGATCACCTTCATCCTTGACCTCTCTTGAACCCTAACCCCTGCTGAGCCAAGGGCTAAAGGTCACGTTCTCAGCTTCCCTGGTGGGGCTCACCCTGGAGGCTGTATTGGGCGGCCGTGGGAAGGGGGCCAAGGCTCCGGGCATCAGCTTGTCTCGGGAGGACAGGCTCCGGATCTTGATGCAGGAAGGCTCCCCCCGTGCCCAGGGTGGGCGCTGAGAAAGGGGAAAGAGGGAAGACAAGACCCAGGGGCGGCACGTCCCTCTCTGTGTCTTTGGAGGAGGAAAGCAGAGTCTGCATCACTGGGTACACCGCGGCCCATGGGTGGGGTCAGCAAGGGCACGTCCCCTCCAGGAGGGGGGACCACGCCGTCTGACCTCCTCTTCCTCCCCTCCTGGGGGAGTTACCACCAACCTCTTGCTCCTCAGAAAGTGGAAGCCGAGGGGATGGAAGGCCGTTTGGGGGCTTGTGCTGAGGTCGAAGGTCCTCGCGGGCCTGCATCCTTCCCCGTCCTGCCCTCGGGCCGCGGGACTCCTGCTACAGCCTCTCTCCCACCCTCACTGCAGCCCCCATCTCCCACCCTCGTGGCAGCCCCCCTCTTCAACCCTCACTGCTTCCTGGTCCTTTGAAAAGTCCCAGCAGCGCCAGAGGCAGCTGTTGGCCCTGCCACCAGGCCACAGGCTCCAGAACCCTTGGCTAATGGCACACCCCTGTCACAGACCCTGGCTCACGAGAAGCCGGAGAGCAAGGGAAGTGGATGAAGGCCGTGAGCAGCGTTAATAGCCCGTCACAGAGAGCGCTGTTGTGAAAGCGTCAGAACACTCCTTCCGTCCTCCGACTAGGCAGCAGATTTTTGTACACGTTTCGTTACAAACAAAGTGCATCCTCATATAGACACAGTTGTGAATCCTGCCTTCCCACTTAACAGTATGTGTCCTGGACATTTCTCATGTCATGAGCCCTTTCCAGGACATCATTGAAATAGCTATGGAGCAACACCCTTCAGAGGTGTTGCCGTGTGCTTCTTCTTGTTTCTTTTTTATTTTTTAATTGGGAGGCCCAGATTTGATCCCTGGGTTGGGAAGATCCCCTGGAGAAAGGGATGGCTACCCACTCCAGTCTTCTTGCCTGGAGAATCCCATGGACAGAGGAGCCTGATGGGCTGTGGTCCGTGGGGTTGCACAGAGTTGGACACGACTGACGGACTAACACACACACACACACACACACACACTTGATTTACAATGTTGTGTTAGTTTCAGGTATGCGGCGGCAGTGACTGTTACTACTGCTGTCTCTATTTTTTTCAGATTCCTTTCCCTTCCAAGTTATTACAAAATGTGGAGTAGAGTTCCCTGCACTGTACAGCAGTTCCTTGTTGGTTACCTATCTTACACAGCGGTGTGTACGCGTTAATCCCAAACGCCTCGTGTATCCCCACCCCTTTCCCTTTGGTGACCACCAGTGTGTTTTCTGAGTCTGTTTCTGTTTTGTATGTGAGTTCACTTGTGCTTGGTTCTTGTCAAAGCTCAACATGGAAACACTTCCGAACCCGGTTGGCTCTCATAGAGACGCACTTCCAAGACAGGAGCTGAGCAGTGGACACACGCCCTGCTGCTCGCTCGCCAGCCCAGGGGGTGACCATCTCGAGGCACAACAAAGCCAGCAGGTAAAGAAGTAAACCTGCATGTGAATGTGTGTGTGCACGCACGGGTGCACACGTGTGCCTGAGGTCAGACCCAGGCACAGCACTGGCAACATGGAGGTCTTTGCCTGCTCCTCTCTGGGGGCGGAGGGTCCAGGTTTGTCTGGGCTGGACAGGGGTCCGGGAACCCTGACATCACCATATGTCACAGTCACACAAAGCCCACAGAGGTGACCCAAGTGGGGCCCAGAGTCCTCTTGGGTTGGGACTGCCGGGCGCGGGTGTAGCCAGGCGGGGCCGTGCTGTGGTCACGGGGCCTGAAGACTGCGGATGAGCACCATGAACTATGCCATCGATGCCCAGTGGGTTTCCATTTGCTGTCACCCGGTGGGAGGAAGCAGTGGTGACTTCGGCCATGAGCCATTCTCAGGGAGAGACTTGCTCTTCCGGGAGCCGAGCCTTCCCCACATCTGTCACTACTGAGTGTGTGCAAGCTCTCTGCTCCCCACGGGCCTCTCATGATGATGGGGGGGCCACCAGGGACTTAGGTTGCTGCCAGATCACCAGGGTCTTTTTTCTTTTTTAGGGAATACATTGTGATAAAGGAGAGTGTGCAAAGGTATTTAAAATAGCAGGCATCTTTTTTGATTCCTACTGCAAGCTTTTACCAGTATGAGAGAAAAAGAAATATCTTCACTGGAATTCTGTGCTCCCAGCAGCTTTAGAAGCTTGCTTTCCTCAGAGGATGTCTGCAGGGAGTGTGTGCCCCTGAAGGAAGCGGGGGTGGCCAGGAGCACCCTTCCTAGCTGGTGTGTCTTTCAGCCGCATGCACCAGAAGATCCTAGGGTGATTTTAATACAAGGTCAGATCTGCTGCACACAGTCTTCCTTCCTGTGACTAAACGCAGGGCAGAAAGGATAGTGATGTGTCCCATTATCGACACCCCCGCAGCCTCTGTGTTTCCACTGCAGTGACTGCCTCTGGCTGTGTTTGTCTGTCTGCCTTTTCTTTTTCAAATTAAAAAGTTTCTTTCTTTTTTTTTTTTTTTTTGGTCCCATGGTATGTGGGATCTGGGGCTTCCCTGGTGGCTCAGTCTGTAAAGAAACTGCCTTCAATGTGGGAGACCTGGGTTCAGTCCCTGGGTGGGGAAGATCCCCTGGAGAAAGGAAAGACTACCCATTCCAGTATTCTTGCCTGGGGAATCCCATGGAAAGAGGAGCCCGGTGGGCTACAGTCCACAGGGTCACAAAGACACAACTGAGCGACAAGTTCCCCGACCAGAGATTGTACCGACACACCCTGCGTTGGAAGTGCTGAGTCCTAACCCCCTCGACCACCAGGGAAGACCTGTGCATTTCTTCCTTAAAGTCTGATGAGCTTTGCAGAGCCCATTTGAGTCTGCAGAGATGTCAGTCTGGTTTTAAATCTAAACCATCGGCAAAGATGATGTTCTCATTTGACTTGATGGAAAACACCCATTTCAAAAAAGAAAAAAACCACTGATTTTTCAGAGATGAATATTTTTTTGCAGTAACGTTTGAAGAGCCATCAGTATGAACAGAGCCAGGGAATCACCACCTCTCTGGAGATCTCCTTCCAGAGCGGTTTTGAAGGTGAGCCCCTCCCGCTTTCCGGAGGGGCTCCGGGGCTGGACCTGGGCTCGGTGGGGATCCTGCAGATTCCGCTTTGCTCTTGGCAGCTTGCCCAGACTCTTGCTAATTTATTCAATTCACCGGAGTTCAAGGCAGGGCAGCGAGTCCCCAGACACAGCTTGAAGCATCCATAAGAAATGTTTTCGTTGCTGCCAGCACCCGAGGCTTCTCTGGTGTCTCTTCGTGGGACGGGCACGCTGAAGGCTCTGCCCGCATAGACAACACCGCACGGTAACACCTCCGAGTAGAAGGAGAGGGTGTCTGTGTGTGAGAAGTGGAAGCTGAGATTCGCAGGGCCCGACGCCCAGATTCCGCTGCAGGGCCCAGAGCAGACACCAGGCTCGGCCTGTGCTTTTGGTGGGTGCGGGGTTCGCCGGTGGTGGGGTGACTTGAACAGAATCCTTCCAGAGAACCACCGGGCTACGCGGTGTGAGCTTCGCTGTTACTCCATCGAGAGATGGCTCGGGGTGAGGCAGTCGCTGCTGCCGTGAGGGCGTCGTCCTGAGAGACAAACGCGCCCGCGGCCTGGTCGGCGGGCAGATGCCCACCTCCGCGGGTTGCGGGAGCTCCTCAGCCGCCGGTCCCCGGGCGGTTGGGGCCCCGGAGCCAGGGGAAGAGCCGCACCCTCACAGCCTGCTGCGGCAGGAAGGCTCTGGCTTGCGTGTGGGTTTCCAGCAGTTGAGGTGCGAGAGCACGTCTCAGAGGAACGCAAACCCAGCTCGTGACTGGAAGAGAAACGGGAGCTTCAACGAAGCTGTTCTCACACGACGTTCCCTCGAGCGCCAACAGGGCTCCTCTCAGACCGGCAGTCGGGGCCTGTGTCGCATTATTTTTGTGAAGACTGCTGGCTGGTGAGGGAAGGTGTTGTTTTAAATTTAGTAACGCGGGCTCTCGCGTCTGCCAGCGGGCGTGGCGGCTACCGCGGCTTCAGAAAACGCAGGCCTTGTCGGATTTTAAGCGGCTCTAGTCCTCCCGCCCGAGACGAGCCGAGTCGAGCCGAGCGTAGCCGAGCGGAGCCGAGCTGAGCCGAGCCGAGCCGAGTCGCGCCGAGCCCAGCCGAACCGAGCCGAGCCCAGCCGCTCCCTCCCGAGCAAGAGCCCCCGAAGCGGGTGCAGGCGTGAGGCCGCCACAGGCACGCGTCCCCTCCTCCCGCGGGCGGCGAGCCCGCCCCATTGGCTGCGCCTCGTTGCCAGGACTCCGTTGCTAGGATCTCGCTGCCTCCGGCCCCGGCAGGAAACATGCCATGAATTATGGATGCTTGATTTTCTCGGAGAGGCCTGATCTGTGATGCAGATGAGCTCCGAGTTACCCCCTTTCTTCTAGCTTCTTAAGGGGGGAAAAAAAAATCAGAGTTTTAAATCAGAAGCTGGCATTTACGAAGTCCCAGTTGCCACTAGAGGGGCTGGGCCGCCGGCGTTAATTCTTATGCAAAGAGAGGGCCAGGGGTCAGTGTCTGTTATTTGTTCTGGAAAAGCTTGTAGGATTTTTCACTGAACCCTGTGACCCTTTGGGGGCATCCTTTTTTTGTGTGTGTGATCAGAGACAAAATGGGATAGAAACACTAGAAGTGGCATTTTCTGCATCTGAGACACTTCCTACGGGCCCGCGGGGCCGGGGGCCGGGCGGGGTCGGGTCCTTGGCTGGCGGATCAGCGAGGACCCGTCTCCCACCTGCCGCTTGGGCTCCCTCAGCCTCCACCCCAGAGGCAAAGAAACGATTACCGACTGGCTCCCTCGCCTTTCTTCCGTCCCCGGAGTGTGGACCGCCGAGGCCGCGGTAACGGCGCCCTCCCTCCCTGATGGGGGAGAGCGGCCTGGCCGCCTTTCCGGGGCCCTCCCGCCCACGGCGGCTTGTGTTTCTGGGCCGGTCTCCACACGGTGGTGTCTGCTGCCCTCTGCCCGGCTCGCGGCAGGCAGAGGGGCGCGGCGGGGACAGAGCGCCAGGCACCCCCGCCCCACCTTGTCGCTGCCCCCGCACTGGGCTCGGAGCAGGCCGGCTGGGCAGCGTCTGAGGGCCCAGAGCTCGGTTAGCAGCGCAGGAGCTCGTTCGCAGGGAAGGCCTAGGGATTAGAGCCCCCCTTCAGGGCCCGTCCTGCCCGGGGAGGGGAGTCGGCTGTGCGCCCCTGGCTTTGCGCTCCCCTATTCCACCCACGTTCCCGCAGCTCCCTTAAGTCCAGACCTTGCCCTGGAGGCAGGACGTGAGGCTCCTGAGGACAGACGGACTCACAGATGTGGCCTCCGCGAGGGAGGAGGTGACCTATGCCTAGCACTCAACACAAAAAGCCGATTCTCTGGAAAAGCCGCGAAAATACCTGTCATTACCTGCCCAGACCAGCAGGCCGTCTCTCACCACCCAGAGCCCCACGACTCCTACGCGGAAGAAAGAGGAGAGAGAGAACTTTATTTCAAAGAGGCAGAGGCTTTATTCCAGAGGGACGGAGAAGCGGTTTAGGTGAAAATTACATTTGTCACCCCCGCATCACAGCGTTTATTGAGTGATGCCGGGTTCAGCCCAGGAATTTCTAAGCATCACAAGACCCCAAAGATGAGAGGAACAATCGACCGAACTTCCTTCCAGGACATTGAGTCTGTGTCTGAAGTCTGAGCCTTTCCATCTTTTTGTTGCAGGGATGGTGGGGGTGTGTTGTTTTCAGAATCGCGGGGACAGTTTTCATGAAGAGCCATGGGTTACCCACTCTTTCCAGGGTCACCGGGAGACAGTCACTGTCTAAGAATCATCGATTGTGTAAGAATTTAAAAGCAGCAAAACAGAAGAGCTGGGAGTCCCTGGCTCTCTCCTGCATCCACCTGCAGAGGTGGCGGGCAGACAAAGGCAGTCAGTTGGAAGAAGGCGGCAGGGTCCGGGTGCTGGACGCAAGCGTGCAAGTGGCTCAGTCCTTCCTGCCTGAGGCCTCCAGTCTCGTCACTTCCCGGCCCGTATGCGGCCGGCCTTGGCACCCTGCGGGGAGGTGAAGACCGGGGGCACCCGGACAGCCACCAGGGCTCCTGTAGCTGGTGGAACTCGGGTGACAGGCTGACGGCACCCATGCTGGAGGCCCATGAAGGGCTCCGTTTGGGAGCTTCTGAGGCAGGGTCACAAAGGGTCAGACACGCCTAGGGCGGCCGAGCACGGACGCCGTGCAGACGGGCTCGGAGGAAAATGGTGTCTGAAAGGGATGTTTGGTTTTATCCAGTTTCTTGTCATGAAAACAGTGAGACAAACCAACACCGAGGAGAATCCACCCAGGATTCAGTCTGTGAGCCAAGAGGTGACACCTCAGCTGAAATAGAACAAAACGGGGCATCCTTCCGTTTCTGTGCTAGGCAAAATCTACGCCAGTTACAGGACTAGTGACTGTTATTGAAACACGGCCTGTCTGGTTGACCAGCTCGGAGTGACTTCTGGCTCACGGTTAGTTCTGTGGGCCCTCTGACGTGTCAGGCGCAAGCAGCAGGGTAACTGCTGGGAGGACAGATGGGTCAGGATGAGCATCGCATCCCACGTCACCGCCCACGGGAGACGCACGGAGCACGAGGACAGGCTGGGAACGGCGGGCTTGGGCCGTGGACCAGACGGCAGAGTGTGGCTTTAGCAGAGCGGATGAGACGCGGGTCAGAAAGGGAGGCGATGCTGGCCAGCCCAGGGGAGCCTGGGTCCGGGCCACTCCTGGTTGAACTGAGGAAGCTAAACCTCCTGGTGACGACCCAGGGACCTGCCAGCTACCCCCACGCGGTTCACGGGGACCCCTGCCCAGCTGGGGATGCGCGGTGCCCGAGCCTGTACGGGTGTTTCATGTCGAGGAAGTAGGGTCTCAGAGTGGAGGGTGTTGGGGGAGGTCACGGTGCCTGAGCAGCGGCCGGTCTTGTCCCGGGAGACCAGGTGGGGGCCTGTGTGGTTGACACCTGTGCTTTGCACCCGGAGAAGAAGCTCACCTGGCTGCCTCCGGCCGCACAAAACACGGGCTCCAGGCCGGAGGTGAGGCGGAGAGTGAGGAGCACGGAGAGTGGGGAGGACAGTTCTTGCCCGAGCGCCCACAGGTGGCCGACGCCTCTCCACGTGGCTTCAGGAGCCCGCATCGGACCCAGTGGGTGAAGGTCCCGAGATGCTGTGGGCGTCCTACAGGATGTGGGCTGCTGTCTGACTGCGGTGGGCCCAGCCCAGTGCCCTGGGGGTATGGGCCCCAAGACACGGGTCAGGATCACAGGAACCGTGGGGGTCCACACAAGGGGCCACATGGGCCGGTCCTGCGAGTGCTGAAGACAGGCCCCTACTGATGGCGCGGGGGGCACCCCGCCGGGGGCAGGGGCAGCCCTGCTGCTGGAGCAGGCGAGGGTGCCCAGCCTGCAGAGTCCACACTGGACAAGCCAGTAGAGGGGTGCGGTTCGGACGGAGGGGTGAGAGTGCGTGTCTGGGCAGACAGGGTCCCTCCTGTGTCCTTTCCCCCCAGTGGAGAGCGGATGTGGTCGGCCTCTCCTGCCCCTTTAAGACCCGCTCCCTGTCTCTGGTCTCGGGTGTGTCACTGTCTTACTCTCTCCTGGGAACTTCCCTGCTCCCCCTCTGCTTCTGCACTTTTTGGGGGACTGGAAAACACATGTCCTAAACTTGGAGTTCTTATGCCGGTCTTCGCTATTCGGCACGCGCCTGGTTTAGTTTTTGCATTTCTTTTGTTTTTTTTCAAACCATTTCATTTTAGACATGTTCTTCTAAACTGTATATATTTTTTAAGCTCCAACTGGAGATTCTATTTTAACCGATAATTAAATTCAGTTGCATTTCTGGTGAAAGTGGATGACTTGGGATTTCTCGCTGCAATCCCATTTTGTGTTATTTCTCAGGTTCCTGTCGTTGCTCCTCCCCCTCCTGCATGGTTTGCTGTTGGATCCATCAGGTTCCCTTCTTCTCTACATCCCTCCAGGATCCCGTTCTCGTGGGGCCACCTTCACGGAAATAGGACACCCGATCCCCACATGAGCAGGCGTCCTCTGAACACACAGACCTTGGGTGGCTTCACCTGATGGCTCCGCCCTTCTCCCATGTGATTTCCATCTGGCATTTTAACTCCATTTTATTTACAATCCTACCCTAACAATTAGCTATTTTTTAAAAATAGTATCATTTATTTTTGGCCGTGCTGGGTATTCGTAGCTGCGCGCGGGCTTTCTCTAGTTGGGGGAGGGGGCTGCTTTCTAGCTGCGGTCCGCGGGCTTCTCACTGCTCTGGCTTCTCTTTGCCGTGGAGCACGGGCTTCATTGCCCGAGGCATGTGGAATCTTCCTGGACCAGGAATTGAGCCGTGTTTCCTGCCTCGGCAGGCGATTCTCAGCCACTGGACCACCAGAGAAGTCCCCCAGACGAGTGACTCTGATTATCGCTTTTTATAGCCAAGTCTCTCTGAGACACACTCAGGCCTTTACGACGGTTCCCATGGCTTTGGCTTCGGCTTTTCACCATCTCCTACCAACATGCGTCTTTCCTTTGTGTTTCCCCCACGTTAGATTGTGCTTATTTGCTTGTCTTCTTTCTTTCAGTTTTTAAATCTGGAAACACTGCAAACCCCCCGGGATGGTGCCCAGTAGCACTGCGACCACCCACATGACCTCCCCCTGACCCACTCCTTCGGGTTCACGTCTCTCTGTTCTCTCTCTTCCTAGTGTGTGTGTTGACTCACAGGGGCACAGTTTTTTAAACATTGTAAATGATGCACTTTATTATTTTTATGCTCAACTCTCATTTATCTTTATTTTAAAATATTTTTATTGGAGTATAGTTGATTTAAAATGTGTTAGTTTCTGCTGTACGGCAGAGTGAACCAGTTATTAGTCATTCAGTCATGCCCGACTCTGTGTGACCCCACGGACTGTAGCCCACCAGGCTCCTCTGTCTGTGGGATTCTCCAGGCCAGAATATTGGAGTGGGTTGCCATGCCCTCCTCCAGGGGATCTTTCCAACCCAGGGATCGAACCCATATCTCCTGCATCTCCTGCATTGCAGGCAGATTCTTTACCCCAAGCGCCACCTGGGAAGCAGGGAAGCCCTCATATGTTGGAAAGACACAGCTACTCTTGGTTCCTGCCCAACAGCAGTCTGTTACCAGCATGAGGGATCTGGCAGTTCACATGCAGTAGGTCCAGAGCTGTACACGTGCAAAGCTGAGTGACGTGAATTGGTATCACATGCGTCCTCAGCGGCTGCACACAACCACTGCATACAGCAGCTCAGGGTTCATATGTCATGCCCTCTGCAACCGCAGACTGGAGCAGAAAGGGCAAGAGCAAGACTGAGGGTCTGCTGGAAACCTCCTCCGAGACTAGCACACCCCTGCTGTCTTGAAGGGAAGCTCTGGCAGGAAATCGTCCCGGGTCGTGCTCAGGGCCCCCACCCCTTCCCTTGCCAGGCGGCACCCGGTGCAGCTGGAGTCAGCCCCGTGGGGGGCAGTGTGGGACCCGCATGGGCCCAGTGGCCTCCCCGGCCTCGCTGTCTGCAGCCCTTCCCGCCTCATGCCAGGCTCCCCGACGGAGACAGTGCTCCGCATACCCTTTCCCCTTGGTTCAGCCTTAGTTTCACTTTTAGGGCCCTTCCCTCAGCTGTTTCTTCCAAACATTCTATTAAAATTTTTATTTCTCCTGTCACAGGAGTTCTTTTAGATTCTTTGTTCTGTTCTGTTTTAAATAGCATCTTGCTTCCCCCCCGTGGCTGCAATATCTTCTCTCAGCTCTCTGAACATTCTAATTATATTTTCTATGAAGTTTTCCTCTCCCTGTAGCTTTTGTTCCATAAATAAAGCCCTTGGGCGTGGGCGTCTCCGGGTGTGCAGGGCTCTGAGTCAGGCTCTCGCAGCTGGCTCAGTGGCCTGCGGCCCTCTCCCCACGGGGCCCGTCCACTGCTGCCTCCTCAGGAGGCCACAGCCTTGCTCAGCATGTGAGCCTTGCTGCTGGTGTCTGTGTGTCCCCATGCGCCCGTTGTCCGGGTGTCCCTGTGTACTCAGTGTTAGGATATCCCCGTGTGCTCGCTGTCCGGGTGTCTCTGTGTGCCTGCTGTCCGGGTGTCCCTGTGTGCTCGCTGTCCGGGTGTCCCTGTGTGCTCGCTGTCTGGGTGTCCCCCTGTGCCCACTGGCCGAGTGTCCCCGTGTGCCCACTGGCTGGGTGTCCCCGTGTGCCCACTGTCTGGGTGTCCCTGTGTACCCAGTGTTAGGATATCCCCATGTGCCCACTGTCCAGGTGTCCCCGTATGCCCGCTGTCTGGGTGTCTCCGTGTGCCCACTGTCTGGGTGTCTGCATGTTCAAACTTTGGCAGATGGCCCCCTTCAGTGCGGCTGGCCCCTGCCCTCAGTTGGTCCTGGGGTCTCAGTCCAGAGACCTCCCCTGTTGCCCTCCCTAGGGTGAGGCTGTCTTGAGCTGGGTGGGCCAGAGTGGCCTCTTAGCTGGGCAGCAGGGGTGGGGGGTGCAGGGAACCCCTCCTGAGTGGAGGGCCTGCTGCAAGCGGTTGGAAGGGCTGGGGGAGGCAGGCCTCTACCAGCCCTTCTGGAACAGTCCCAGCTGAGAGGGGCTCCTCGGGGCCACAGCTGTGCCTGTGCATGTGTGTGTGTGCACATGTGTGAGCATGTGCATGTGTGTGTGTCTGTGCACGTGCGTGAGCATGTGAGCATGTGTGTCTGTGTGTGCACGTGTATGAGCATGTGAATAAGTGAGCATGTGCATGTGTGTGAGCACATGCACATGTGTCTGTGTGTGCACATGTGAGCATGTGCATGTGTGTGAGTGTGCACATGTGAACACGTGCATGTGTGTGAGCATGTGCACATGTGAGCACGTGCATGTGTGAGCATGTGCATGCGTGTCTATGTGTGTCCATGTGTGTGAGCATGTGCACGTGTGAGCATGTGCGCATGCACATGTGTGAGATGTGTGCGTGTGTGTGTGCACGTGTGTATACATGGGTATGCCTCCCCACCCTCGGGTTCAGCCTGTCAGTTGGGCGCTTCAGCTCCACCGTGCACTGCTGGGCTGGCAGGGGCTCCAGTGAGACCACATGCGACCACCCCCGTTGCCCCCAGAGTCACTGGTCCCACGGTCACCCCAATGCATGTCCTGCTGGCTCAGCTCCATCTTGGAGTTGGCTCCCCGGGTAATCCAGTGGGCAGCTCTCCCACACTCCCACCCCACTATCCAGCCCTTCCCCTAGCCTTCCATCTCGAGATGTCCAGGGTCTGTGGTTTGAAAACAACCACAGTGCACCCACCACACCCATGCACCCACTGTAGACCCTGGCACCCCAGTATAGACCATAGGTCCCCATGTAGACCACAGCACCCCTTGTAGACCACAACACCTCACTATAGATAACACCCACTATTGACAGCACCCCACTAAAACCATGACACCCCACTATAGACCATGACACCCCACTATAGACCATGGCACCCCACTACAGACCATGGCACCCCACTATAGACCATGACACCCCACTATAGAACCATGGCACCCCACTAAAGACCATGGCACCCCACTACAGACCATGGCACCCCACTATAGGACCATGGCATCCTACTATAGACCATGGCACCCCACTACAGACCATGGCACCCCACTATAGAACCATGGCACCCCACTATAGAAACATGGCACCCCACTATAGACCATGGCACCCCAATACAGACCATGGCACCCCACTACAGGCCACAGCACCCCACTGCAGACCATGACACCGCACCCTGAGCTATGCGTTTGGTTTCAGTGTGAGCCGCTGGTGGATGTCGGGGTTGGTGCACGAGTGTGGGCCCGGCACCGGGGGTTCGACAGGAGGCCCTTTGGTTCTGAACGTGGGCGGTGTGCTCGGAAGTCGCCCCGCAGGGCTCATCTCCCCTGCTCCTGCTTCTGTCAGCTCCCGCCGCCCTGTTGAGAGGGAAGGGCGGCCCCGGTCACCTCCTCGGGGCTTCCTCTACTTAAGCCGAACGTCTGGAGGCTTGTGTGCAGCAGAGGGCACCTTTCCTGGGCACCCAACACCCCACCTCCAGCGCCCAGGCCAGTTCCCTTGTGGTGGTCTGGGTTGGGGTGAGGATTAGGGTCATCTCAGCCTCTCTGCTGCGCCTTGCACTCCACTGATGAGTCTGATTTAATAGGCATCATTGCAATGTTAGCTCAGCTGGTAAAGAATCTGCCTGCAATGCAGGAGACCCTGGTTTCATTCCTGGGTCGGGAAGACCTGCTGGTTCAAGAAGGGATAGGCTACCCACTCCAGCATTGGGCTTCCCTGGTGACTAAGCTGGTAAACAATCCACCTGCAATGCGGGAGACCTGAGTTTGATCCCTGGGTCGGGAAGACCTCCTGGAGGAGGGGATGGCAACCTATTCCAGTATCCTGGCCTGGAGAATTCCATGGACAGAGCAACCTGGCCAGATACAGTCTTTGAGGTCACAACTAGTTGGACACGACTGAGCGACTAAGCAACCCACAGCACGGTTGAACATGGATGGGAGAGGAATAGTGGCTTCCGCCCTGGAGACACAGCGCCAGATCCGGACTCATACCCGAGGGGGGCCTGGGGAGGGGGCTACGTGAGGGGCTGGAGGGGAAGGGGTCCCATGGGGTCAGGGAGGAGTGCTAGGGAGAGGCTTACCCGGGTCACGAGGGGTCACAGGGGGCACAGTGGAGTCCAGCGTCTCTGGATGGCCCAGCCCGAGCTGGAACCCGGACTCTCCTGGGCCCTCTGCCACCCAGCAGTGGAGGCAGGCCTGCCCTTCCTCAGGCTGGCATGCGTGTGGGCGGACGGCTGCTGCTGCAGCACCACGTCAGCCCGGGGTTGAGGTGTGGGGGGCGTGACCGCTTCCTCGGGCCAGACCAGACCCGAGCTGTCACGTTTGCACCGCCCCACCCTGTCACGCGCTCTTGGACTTAGCGGTCAGCTTTTAAGAAGGCATCCACATTTCCATAAATTCTGTCCTGTTCTTTAGGGTTTAAATGGCAGTGTTTTCTTTTTCATGAATCTAGAGCCAAGTCCGGGAGGCTGGTGTGTCCCTTTGGGCAGATTTTCAGATCAGGTGAGTCTGATGACAGATGATTGGCCCACATCCTAGGAGATGCGGGTGGACCCGACATCACCCCCTTTTAAGCCAAGGTTGCGGGTGTCCCAGGTGGGTGCCCTTCGGGACGGAGTCCCCTGTGTGCCCAGGCAGCAGAGTCACCATCCGGGCCAGCTCAGGGGCCTTCTCTCCTCGGCTTCTCATCTCCTACTTCCCTCCTCGGAGAGTGACTGTGGCCACCACTCCACACTGGGTCTGGGAGGAATCAGGAGGGCAGGCGCCAAACACAGAGCCCGGAGTGCACAGCCCCTCCGATGGGGGTGGGGGTTGAGGTCACACACCGTGTGGACCCCAGTACTCTCTGCAACATCACGGCTGAGAAAGTCCCACACAGTTTCAGGGGCTGCAATGGGCAGACACACAATGGAAAAAAAAAAGGAATTTTTTAGGTGAGAATGTACAACTCAGTTTTGCAGACAACACACCTTGGGCTTCCCTGGTGGTTCAGATGGTGAAAAATCTGCCTGCAATGTGGGAGACCTGGGTTCGATCCCTGGGTCAGGAAGATCCCCTGCAGGAGGAAATGGCAACCTACTCCAGTATTCTTCCCTGGGGAATTTCATGGACAGAGGAGCCTGGTGGGCTACAGTCCATGGGATCAAGGAGAGTCAGACAGAACGGAAGCAACGGAGCACACATGCACACACCTTCAAAAGGAGGGAGAGCTTGGGCTTCCACGGCTGTATGGATTCGCTCGTTAATCACAGGTGAAGTCAGGGTTCCCCAAAGCACTCTCTGAACAACAGCTGTGGGTGTCGCGTGTGCCCCGGGGACCGAGCGACTAGCAGGCGGTCGCCCTCGGGCAGGATGGGAGCCTCCCGCAGCCGTGTTCGTGTCTCAGCCTGATGTGGTCGGAGCGGGTGCAGAGCGGCAGGCGGACAGCGGATGCGATAACGGGGTTAGAACACGGGGGACCCATCTGCCTAATGAAGCAAATTTCAGCCCTGGCCCGAAACGGGTGCGATCGGACGTAAAATCACACTTCTGTCTGTGCACAACCTCGTCCTGGTGGGAGGGCAGCCGCCGGCGGAAAAGCCCAGAGCGAGCTCTGCTCCCTCTTCTTTGCTGTGACGGTTGCACACCCGCGGCACTCGGGGCGTTCTGGGTGGGTCTGTCGGCAGGTGATGGTGGTCTTTTGTGTTTTGTGCAAGGCTGGCTGTGGTGTGTGTGCGTGCGCCTGTGTCCCCCTGTAAGATTTTTTTGAGGCAAGCTGCTGTTTCTCTGAATTCAAATAATAGCCTAATTAATTTTAATATTCGCCTGACTGTGCATCTAAGTCAGTTGCAGGATGTGTCACAGGAGGAAAATACTAATAGGAATGTGCCAATTTGCAGCTGAAGTAGGGCCGCCTCTAATAGGAGCTGAAGGGCTTTGTATTAACCCCCGACAATGGGGCGAATCAGCCCGCACGCTGATTACTTAGTCAACCCCCAGACACAGTCACGGGCCTATTGAAATTCCAATCACTCCCTCCTACTCTTCCCACCTATGTAATTGTCAACTGGCCCTTATCATCATTTATTATGCAAAATTGAAATTTTTTGAAGCGTGGAGAATGAAGTAATTTTGTATGCAAACAGTTAAAACTCTCATGTGTATTCCGATTCCATACATGTTGATAAATTCACTTATGATGAGTGACAGTGTGAGATTTTGGGGTCGGGCCGGTCAATCCGTGGAAGACACTGATGAAAATGATAAAGTAAATGCCAGAAGTGTCCCCGACGCGTCTTGGGATGAAATGTGCAAAATGTCAGTCTCACCGACGTCTATTAATAACTAAATATGATTGTGCGTGATGAGCAGAGATTTCCATGGTGATTGAAGGAGGGTGTCTTCTGCTCCTTCCAGCTGTCGCTGTTAGAAATTCCTATTGCTTTTTTACTGATAAATGCATAATGACCTTTAAAACCCTTTCACCGTTAAAGCCCCTGTTGTTCGTGATTCTGGAGTCGAGCTGGGGTCTGTCTTCCCCTCGCGTTTGGGGCAACATCCTAGCCTTTGTCACGAGTCCCTCTTCCCCATTTTCCCCGCCGCACTCTCCCGGCTGGGCTCCAGGGTGGATGGCCTCGGCGGCCGTCTCCTCCTGTCCCCTGGGGCCAGCTGCTCTCAGGGCGCCTTGGGACACCATGGGAGGGAGGCCCACCCTGGACTCTCCCGGGGGCAACCCCGAGCCGGCAGCTGCCTGGGCAAGGTGACCGCCCAGAGGGCCAGGGCTGGAGAAGCCCGGGTCCTGGGGGAGGGAAGCCGGTGGGAGCTGTCAATCAGAGCATTTCCGTGGTTACAGGCCAGGCGCTCTGTTATCATCACTCCATGCTTGTGAGCTTTTAGTCCACAGATGTCCTCATGGAGCCTCTAAAAATGTTCCCAGTGTGTGCTGGGGGCGCAAGGGTGAAGATGAGTCAGGCAGCCCCCGCCCCCGCCCCCCTCCAGCACAGCACAGGAGGACCAACAAAGGCAGCAAAACGAGGTGAGGCGCCGCCTCTACTGAAGCCCTTCCCAGAGGGTTGATGGAGCAGGGCGGGGGCGGGGGCTGCCTCTCTTTGTTCTGACCTGCAAGTCCTGGCAGCACCGCTTCTGTCCAAACAGCGGAGATCCTGATGTCATGCGGCTCTGGCTGCTGCGGGAGGAACGGAGTCTTCCCTCCACATTTGTTGTTGGTCAGTTGCTCAGTCATGTCTGAATCTTTGCAACCCCATGGACTGCAGCACGCCAGGTCTCCCTGTCCTTCACCGTCTCCTGGAGCTTGCTCAAACTCATGTCTATCGAATCAGGGATGCCATCCAACCATCTCAGCCTCTGTCTTCCCCTTCTCCTCCTGCCTTCAATCTTTCCCAGCATCAAGGTCTTTTCCAGTGATGCTCTTTTTTCCTGATGCTCTTTGCATCAGGTGGCCAAAGTGTTGGGGCTTCAGCTTCAGCATCAGTCCTTCCAATGAATATTTAGGATTGATTTCCTTTAGGATTGACTGGTTGGATCTTAGGATGGTGCTTAACTCTTGAAACACCTTTCCTAGGGTGCATTCCTGGCCCAAGTTCTGATGACAGAAAGTAGGGAGTAGATCCGCCAAGACTGTGGGTGATGCTCGATGCTTGTACAGTGAACATTGTTTAACAAAAAAAGAAAAACTCAAAAAGTCAAACACAAAGAAATCCACGCAGGCAAAGCGAATGAGCCAGGACACGGCAGGACCACAGGCCAGTGGATGGACGGGAGCTTCTTGGTGACGCAGCCTCCTGCCCTCTGGTGTCCCCCAGGCCCAAGGAAGAGAGGTCAATAAAGCATGTGCTAGAGGCAAGTCCCTGTGGCTAGTTGAGGGTAGAATGTTGTGCTTCCCTCCCACTAAGCTATATTAAGTCCTGACCCTGTACTTGGAACTGGGTCTCTGCAGTTATCATTGAGAGGAGGGCACCCTGGAGGAGGTGGCCAGCCCAGCACAGGCGTCCAGAGGGGAGAGGGAGGTGCAGACACGCAGGGAAGGCCCTGGCAATGGAGATGGGGGCTGGGCTGATGCTCTGAGAGCCTGGGAGACCAGCAGTGCCATAGACATATGGGCTGGAGGTGTAAGAGCCTCCCCTCCTGCGGGCCACAGAGGGAGCCCAGCCCACCCACCCAGAGGCAGACTTCTGGGCTCCAGAGCCGTGTGGGGTTCAGCACACCCCAATACGACCCTTGTTACAGCAGCTTCTTAACTTCTACGAGGAAGAGGGCTGGTATTCTGATGTGAACCGAGGTGATCTGCCCTCAGCCTGGGGAATGCTCCATCTTCCATGAACATGGGATGTCCTTCCATTCTTTCAGATCTTCATTTCTCACAACAACACTTTGTAGTTTTCAGAGTGTACATTTTACATTTCACTTGTTAAGTTTATTCCTAAGCAGTTCATTCTTTTAGATATTATCTTGAATGTAACTGTTTCCATAATTTCACGTTTTAGTTTGTTCATTGCAAGAGGATAGAAATATAATTGCTTTTATATCCTGACCTGATTATACTATTTTGCTGAACTGGTTTATTAGCTGTGACAGTTTTTCAGCGGCTCCCTTAGGATTTGGCACACACTGCATCATGTCACCTGTAACTGAGGACAGTTCTGCTTATTCCTTTCCCACTTGGATGTCTTTCATTTCCTGTTCCTGCCTCGCTGCCCGGGGAGAGCCCGCAGCAGGTTTATGGATGGCTGGGTGAGACTGGACATCTGTCTTCATGATCCTACAGGGAAATAAGTCATCAGACTTTCACAGTGAAGTGTGACATTGGCTGTGGGTTTTCCTTCAGCTGCCCTTTGTCAGGTTGAGAAATTTCCCTTCTTTTCCTAGTTTGCTGAGTGTTGTTATCATGAAAAGATCATGGGTTTGTCAAATGCTTCTTCTGTGTGTGTTGAAATGGTCATGTGTTTTTTTTTTGTTTTTTTTATTGTATCAATTTGATATATCCCTTTATTGATCTTCAGATTTAAATGACTTGTGTTCCTGCGATAAATCCCACCCAGTCCTCATGTATCACTCTTGCACGTTGCTGGATTCAGTATGCTGGGGTTTGTTCAGGGTTTCAGTTCAGTTCAGTTGCTCAGTTGTGTCCGAGTCTTTGCGACCCCATGGACTGCAGCACACCAGGCCTCCCTGTCCATCACCAACTCCCGGAGTTTGCTCAAACTCATGTCCATCGAGTGGGTGATGCCATCCAGCCATCTCGTCCTCTGTGGTTCAGGGCTTGCGCATCTGTCATTCATATGCACCATTGCTCTGCAGTTTTCTTGTCCTGTAGTGTCTTTGGCTGGTTTTGGTATCAGGCAGCCCTGGGCTCATGAAATGCTTCGTGGTCTTTGAGAACAGAAACTCCCAAACTGCCCTGCGATAAAGTGCTTTTCAGTCATTCAGCCTCTCAGTCGTGTCTGACTCTTTCTGACCCCAAGGACCGCAGCACACCAGGCTTCCCTGTCCTTCACCGTTTCCCAGAGTCCACCCAAACTCACATCCATCGAGTCGGTGATGCCATCCAACCATCTCATCCTCTGTCATCCCCTTCTCCTCCTGCCTTCAATCTTTCCCCGCAACAGGGTCTTTCCTAATGAGTCAGCTCTTTGCATCAAGTAGCTGAGGTCCAAAGTGCTTTAGGAGTTTGCTAATGGACGACTTGAAATTTGCTGGTATTGCTATTGCTAAATCTCCAGTCCTGGGACCAGAGGCAGGAGATGTGCCAAAACGTGCCCTTGAGTTGTGTTAGACACCACTCAGCTGGCATCTCATTGGACCATGGGCACCCCCTAGCCTCTGCTCTCGAGGTGGCCCTGGGTCCGCGGGGGCGGGTGCTGTCCCTCACGGCGCTCATGTCCACAGCTCCCCTGTTTCTGTCCTGTCAGGGCTGGTCCCATGTGGGTTCCCTTCCAGATGCCAGCACATCACTGTTTGGAGGAGGCGGAGAGGCTGCAGGGGCACTTGGGGTCAGAGCCTCAGGGGGTCCTGATGGCAGATGAGGAGGAGCTACAGGAGTGGGGACAAAGCCGACTGGTTCCCCCGACCTCAGATGGGGGCAGGAAGGAACAACTCATTCCCCCTGACCTTGGATGGGGGCAGGCAGGACTGGCCAACTGGTCCCCTCTGACCTCAGATGGGGACGGAAGGCCCGACCAACTGGTCCCCTCTGACCTCAGATGGGGGACAGGAAGGACTGGCTGGCTGGTCCCCCTGACCTTGGTGTCTCATCCGCTGCCCCCCATGCTCTGCTCACCGGCCGCAGTGGGAGGATGATGCCTCCCAACACCACTGTTGCCTGATTTCTTCTCCAGGGCCGGTCCTGCAGAGAGCGGAGAAATGGGGAACACAGGCTGAGCAGATTGCAGTGGGAGAAAGAGCCTGGGAGGCCCTCCGCCTCTGAGAAGAGCAGCCTCTCGGCTGCTCTGGGCCAGCTTCGGGCCAGCACCCCTGCCCACCCGCTGGCAGCTCCTCGGTCAGGGTGGTCCCAGGTCCCAGCTCCTGCGTCGTGCCCTCTGGGGCCGCCCCCCGCTCCCGGCCCCATCGCAGCGCTGGGTGTGAGCACGCGCGCGTCCTCGGTCTGCACGGCTGTCCGTCTCCCAGGCGGGCTGGGCTGCAGCCTTCCTCGCCCTCCGTGGCTCCGACCTCCCCACGGGCTTCATGCCCCCTCGGCCTCGCTGGAGTCGCGCTGTGACTGTCCACTGCCCGCCCCCGAGTGTCACGTGGCGGGGCTTTGCCCGCCGTGCTCACCCCCGGTGCAGACAGCATCTTGCGGGTGAGTATCCAGTACGCGCTGGATGAGTGGATGGAGCAAAGTCTGCCTTCAGCCTGCCTCAGCCCCGGCCCCGGAGCCCCCCGCACGCAGATCTCTTTGCAGAGGCCATGTCCCTCTCTCTCAGTGGGTTTTCCTTCAGACAGTCCCCCTCCGGTGGAGCAGAGAATCAGAACCTCTGAGTTCCCGACACAGAAGGGCTCTGAGGGACCTCGTCTAGCCCCTGTTTACGGGGATGAACCTGAGCCTGGATGTGGCTGGGCATGGTTCCCAGGACCCTGCATCCCTCTTGCCCAGCTGGCGTTCCTGACCCCTCTGTGGAAGCCAGCCGCCTGGGTGGACCAGCTCATCGGAAACGTGCTCACACTCAAGGTGGGGGGCCCAGAACTAGTGTCTTCTGCAGCCCTTTTTCAAAGAATGGATGAGCGACTTTTCACTGCCTTCCCCCAGGATCATATACAAACCACAGGCAGATTTGGTTTCTATCCAAACCTCCAGAATCAAGAGGAAAATCTGGCTTCTGAGAACGTCCAGGGTGGACTTGGACCTGGGACTGAATCACTGCCGCACTTTGAGCTGAACACGTACTTCTGGGTCGAAAGAATAGATTTATCATTAGGATCCCAGGAAACCAGTCTTTGTGAAATTTTGATCAAAGCATCCTTCAATCCCTTTGGAATGAGGCAGGACAGAAATAATACCTGTGAAGATGGTGGATGTCAGCGCTGGGGGAGGGAAGGAGTTCGTGGTTTCCATGTCCAGCAGACGTCCACTGGCTGCCTGACCTGTGCAAGGCTCAGAGGGTGCCAGGAAGAACAGAGAACCCTTCCAGGAGAGGGCTCATGGGGTGGGCAGCGTAAGGAGACCCCGGGACAGCGCTGCGGTGACGGAGGCATGAGTGGTCTGCTGGGGAGAGTCACAGCACCTCTGCTGCAATGTCCCCAAACCTGGCCCATCTTTAAGGACCAGCAAGGTTTCCTGGAGGGACCAGAGAGGATGCTGCTGTCATGGGAACGGCCCTGGAAGAAGGTGGGACCCTGGGCTGCAGGAGTGGAGCGTGACCAGAGTGCAGTGTGCACTGGGGGGTGGGGGCAGGTGGGAGGTTGTGAAGGGCCTTGGAAGCATCTTATCTGGGGATGGAGAGCTGCTGACGTCTGGAGTGATGCCATCAGATTTGCTGTCGGAAGGATGAAGCCCTGGAGGTGGGCATGGATTAGGGGCCAGCCCAGAGGGAGACAGTGGCAGGGAGGGGTCTGGCAAGCACAGGAAAAGCTGGGCAAAGGTGGCCCCCGGGGATGGTGCAGACGGAGGGAGGGGTCTGGAGGAATGGGGGAGGAGGGACAGAGAGGAAGCTTCAGGAAGCCCCTCCCTGGGCTTGGGGGTGCTTTGGAGGCACGCGGGGCGGAGGCTTGGGGGGAGGCGCTCAGTTTTGCCACGCAGATCCGGGGTGTGGTAGTTTCCGGTGGAGAAGTCATGTGTAGCTGCAGGTCGGCAGGGGGGCAGACTCGGACCTCGTGTGTGCAGGGTCGGTGGCTGACGAGGACTCCTTCCTGGGAAACGCGGCCGATTTGGAAACGGGGCTGCGGGGGATGCCTGCCGCCATTCCCAGACCCTCCATCCATGTCCCAGCACCCCACAGATGCAGGTACCCCTGTTCAGCCGCATGGGCTCCCGCACACGGTGTTTTATTTGTCCTGGTGACATGGGCAGCAGATGTTAGATGTCTTTCCCAGAGTGGGACCCGCCCACCTCCCACCAGCCCCTCTGCTGTCAAAGGGCCATGCTCGACAAGACTCCTCACGAGAAAGAGGAAGGTGGGTCTCCCCGCCTGACCCCCGGGAGCTTTCCCGAGACGGGACCACCCTTCTGGGAGCTAGGGGTGGACACTGCTGTGAGTCTGGGAGCAGCGTTTGTCAGTGAAGTAATTGAATCTGTGCCGGCCCGGCCAATACTGCAGCGGAGGGGCTGACTCAGTCGCCATCAAGGGGGTCCCAGGCGGGGCGGTACGTGCCATGGCCTTGGGGCATCAGTGGCTCAGAAGGAAGACAGCGAGGAGGGGACCGCCCTGCCTGGGTGAGGGACTCCGGCTCTCGGGAGGGACGCACCAGCCCTGCTGCTGTGGGCAGCCGTGTTGCCTCTTCTTTGCAGGATGGCTCAGCCCAGTGAGGCCTCTTTCTGCGTCTCTGGTTAGACCCCTTAACAGCTCCCGATAGCTCCAGGAGAATTTCTAAGTTGTCAGGCTGACGCCAACTCTGCAAGAGGGTTCAAGCTCCCATCTGGGCCTGCCGCCTGTTGGAGCTGGCGCCCTGCCCTGACCTGAGAGTCTGCCCATGTTCCGGGGGCCTGCACCGCTGGAACGGCGGCACAGGTCTCTCTGCCCAGGGGCCAGCCCTGCGGCTGGCCTCCTGCGCCTCTGGCCGTTTCCTGCCAACCCCCCGCCTTGGTTTTCAGGGCACCTTTGGTCTCTGCTGTCAGCTGCTGAAGGGCGGGTGCTGTGTTCTCACTCCACCCGGAGAGCGCACTGCTCCGAGAAGCCTCTCGCCTGCTGAGAGTGGAAAAGGAAAGATGCTTTCGTTGCCTGGATGCTTTTCTCTGTTGGAATGAGATGTGTCTTAAGGGGAACCGGCCTGAGGGCGGGCTTGCTTCTACAGACAGTCTCACAGGAGGAGCGCGGATGGTCGCCAGCAGCAGGGCTGCTGGCGTGTGCTCAGTGGGCTGTGGTCACTGGGGAGTGGCCGGCGGGTTTGTCCCGGGGCAGCCTCAGCGGGCTCCCTGCTGCTGGGCCATCGTGGTGATGCGTGCGCCTCCTGTGGCTCCCAGAGGGGAGGAAAATGGAGAGGGACCCCAGATGGAGGCAGATGGGCCGAGCTCGAGGGCGATGTGTGAGGGGCCGGTGCACCCTCTCCTTGGGTTTAGGGCGGTGTGAGTATCTGAGGGGCCATGGGAGGAGAGGAGGATGGAAGGAGAAGGACCCGGTCTGGGAAGGCAGGCCCGCACCACCCCGGGAGACACAGGGTGCTCAGGACACAGGCCGGGCCGGGGAGGGAGCCCAGGGGGTGAGCCCCGCGGGGCGGGGGTGGGAACTCCCGGCTGAAGGCTTATTAGCAGCATCAATCACTGAGGTGTCACTTCCAAACACCCTCTCCTCACCTAATTTGCTAAACCTAATTCTTGATCACACCCAGAAGCTGGATGAGAGATGGGAAGGCTAATGAGTGCTGGCTGGAGGCCCCCGGCGGGCGGGGGCGGGGCTGGGGAGGGGGTCCTCCAGCTGGGAGAGCCCCACCCCCGCTGTCTGCACCCCTCAGTGCAGCCTGAGCGAGCCAGGGGTTCCTGCCTCTCCAGAGACCCGGCTTCCAGGCTCCTGCTTGGAAAGCAGCTTTGCTGCTCAGAACATGCCGGCATCCGGTCCCCGCTCACTGTTAATCCCACCACCAAGGCTCTCTTTACACTCTTGCAGAAATCCAGGGGTGTCCAGCAGGGGGTGGGGGGCGGCTGGAGTGGAAGTGGGGAGCCCTCATCCGGTATCAACTCACCATCTTGACCTGTGGTCAAGCGCCCATGTGATCAGTGAGATGGGACAGACCATGGAGATGGGACAGACCAGCCATCGTGAACCCCATCCCCTCTGGTTCCCCTGCGGGGGACCGAGACCCAGGGAATGTACAGGCCCCCCTTGCAGTTGTGCCCACCCCGGCTCGGCCCCCAGCCCTGCCCTGACCAACATCCGAGCAGAGCTGCAGCAGGAACGAAACAACCCGCCTGGAGCATGAGCAGTCGCGGGGGTCCTGGGCTCAGCTGGAGGCACCCCCAGAGCCCACGGGGGCGCCTGGCAGTGGTGAGGCTCAGCAGGTTGGAGTCCGTGCCGGGCAGAGGGAAGACACGGCCTTGGTGTGTCTGGAAATGGAGGCGTGGCTCGTGGTGCTGCAGTTCCTAGTTTTCTTTTCAGCAGAGGAGCGGGTGTGGTCAGCCTGCCAGTCAGACTCCCCGTGTCCCGGGACAGCAGAAGCCTCAGGCCCTCGCAGGTTTCATTCTGCACAAGAGCAGACCGGGCCCCGTGAGGACAGGAGCATGTGTGAGCTTCCCTGGGAGCTGGGCTCGGGCCGCAGCCTGCCCAGGTGGGCCTATGCAGCTGTCGTCTCCGGTTCTGTCGGCAAAGCCTGGGAGTGAGCTGAGTAAGATCGCTTCTGCCGCGCCAGCATGCATGTGTGGCGCCAGCTGTGAGCGCGGCTCGTGCAGAGGTGCTGGGGTGGCCAGCGAGCCACCAGATCTCTGCCCTCCTTGGTGCCTGCGCCTCCGGCATCAGGGCACCCGAGGGCGGCCGGCTCAGTCTCTGGCGTGGACGCATCTGGGCCCGGCTTGGGGGCCGGGCTTGGCCGCCTCCGTGACGCGGCAACTGTGCGCCTGCCTGTCTGAGCCCCCATCCGGTGCAGCCTGGGAGAAGCTCAGGGCCTCCTGCATGGCGGGCCCCATGCGTGCGGACTAGGGCGGCCTCCTGGCATCTGGTGGACGGCCTGGCCTCTCCTGAGCACGGCCGGCCCCGGGGCTGTGGGGGACCGTGGAGGGGGAAGCTGTGGGGCTGAGTCCCCCCTGCCGGCTCGCCCATGTGGCTGCTCTCGCTGCGGGATGGGCAGCTGACTCTTCTCTACGGCCACGTCGACGACAGGCCACCCTGCCCCCGGGGAGCCTCTGCTCTGGGAGAGGGGCCCGAGGACAAGTAGGAAGTCGTCACACGCAGTCCCCATGTACGGGTTCTCATGTGTTTCTAGAAACTCCCTCCCTCTGTGCCCAGACGCTGCCTGTATTCTGATTCAGGAAGTCAGGCCGTGGCTTTGGGCCCTGCGTCCTCGGGCGTGTGACGTGTGTGCACAGGCATCGTGGTGCGTGTGTGGGTGTGTGTGCCTGGACGTGCTCACCGCTCCGTCGCCCAGTCATGTGCAGCTCTGTGACCCCACGGACGGTGCGTGCCCGGCCACTCCGTCGCCCAGTCATGTGCAGCTCTGTGACCCCACGGACGGTACGTGCCCGGCCACTCCGTCGCCCAGTCATGTGCAGCTCTGTGACCCCACGGACGGTGCGCGCCCGGCCACTCCGTCGCTCAGTCATGTGCAGCTCTGTGACCCCACGGACGGTGCGTGCCCGGCCACTCCGTCGCCCAGTCATGTGCAGCTCTGTGACCCCACGGACGGTGCGTGCCCGGCCACTCCGTCGCCCAGTCATGTGCAGCTCTGTGACCCCACGGACGGTACGTGCCCGGCCGCTCCGTCGCCCAGTCATGTGCAGCTCTGTGACCCCACGGACGGTACGTGCCCGGCCGCTCCGTCGCCCAGTCATGTGCAGCTCTGTGACCCCACGGACGGTACGTGCCCGGCCGCTCCGTCGCCCAGTCATGTGCAGCTCTGTGACCCCACGGACGGTGCGTGCCCGGCCCCTCTGTCCCTGGGATTCTCCAGGCAGGAATACTGCAGCGGGTTGCCATTCCCTTCTCCACGCATGGTCCTGGCTCAGGGATTGGGCCGGCATCTCCGGCACTGCGGGCAGATTCTTTACCCCAGTCACCAGGGAGGCCCTAAGTCAACTACACAATTTAAAGACCACGATAATAGTGAGCTATTGTTCCTACGGTGTCTGTGGGTGAGCAGTTTACCCCGGGCGTCTGTCTCGTGGTGTCTGGCACTTCACCAGGAGGACGGCGTCCGTCTGCACCTGAGATGCCTTCCCCACACGTCTGGCCGGCAGTGAGGGCTGCGGGCCGGGGCCCAGTGGGGTGATCGGCAGGCCACGCACATACGGGCTCCCGCAGCCTGCACGTGGCAGCTGGGTCTGTGGGTGACCACGTGACGCAGAGGAGCAGGGTCGTGCCGTGTGACCCCCTGCTGCTTCCTCTTGGTGGAGGACCCGCCAGTCCAGATGAGACTCTGGAGGGCGTGTCCCTGTGCATTTGTTTCAGTAGCAGCCCAGGGCTGACCTCAGAAAGCAAACCGTCCTCGAGGGATGGGCCAGCCCCAGTCCAGGTTCATCCTGGGGGAGGGGGGCTCCACCTCAGTTCAGGTGGTCCCTTGGAGCCTGCTTCTGCAGGGCTGGCAGGGGTTGGGGCAGAGGTCGAAGACCCCGTTGGGATTCCTCCCATGCTTCTCAGAGGCTGTGGGTGCCCTGGATGCCAGGGACTGCCCTTCGGTAGCGCCGGCTGCGCTGCGGCCCCAGCTCCAGGCCGCCTGACGGTGACACCAGGCACTCCCCCGTGCTGTGCTTCTGCTCGGGGTCCACCTCGCCAGAGTTCTGCCTGCTGTGCTTCACTCTCCCTGCGATGGGGTAGATCTGATCGCCCCCAGCGTCTGCAGTCACATCTACAGAAGCGTCTATGTGGTGGGGACTCATGTGGCCTCAACAGAGGCAGAGTCCAGTGTCATTGTCTGAAGACGAGGCCCCTGGAGCCCTGGCTCCCTCCCCAGGCCCCCTCGCAGCCATGCCTCCCTGCAGGCTCCCGAGTCCCGAGGCCTGGTCACACGCAGGGCCGCCCAGCCACCCAGCTCAGAGATTGTGCAGTGCACGACCCGCACCACCGTCTGGGCAGCCCTGCCCTGTGCTGTCGGCCTCCCGAAACTCCCTCCTGCCTCCTTTCCCCCTGAGGCCGACACGGACTTCTGGCCAGCTGGGGGTCTCCTCTGTCTCCGCTTCTGGGCTGGGGCCTCTCACACGGCTTTAAACCCCTCACCCCGTCCTCACTCCTCTAGAAGTGCCCACTGTCTGACCACCCAGCAGCAGCGCTGGCGGCCTGCACACTTGCCCCACCAGCTGGCTGTGTGCCCTCGGGCAGGCGCCCTGTCATCCGTGACCTGCCTGGGGGCCGGTCATGCCGGGCCCCCCCGCACAGCGGCTCCCCGCCACCTGCGCCCGGCGCCCACGGCTCCTGTTCCCGCCCTGACCTCCTCCCCGACCCCTCCCCCCGGCCGTCATCCCCCTGAGAGCCAGGCCTCCTCCCACACAGCATCCGTGTCTCCAGGGCCTGCAGCTGCCCTGACCCAGCCGAGGAGGATGTGAGCTGGGGGCTCTGCCCAGGGCCCCGGGCCGCTCACTGTCCATGCCCTTGAGGGGCCTGGGGCCGGGACGGAGCTGTACCTCCCACTGCTGTCTGAGAGCCCAGCCTGGACACACAGAGGCCCTTCCCACGAGTCCCAGAGAGCCGGCGACACATGGGCAAAGCCTCACGGAGCCTGTGCAGAAGCAGGACGAGTGTTTTCTTCTCATAAAGCGGAACACCTACCGCATGGCCCGCGTGGAAAGCCACGGAGTCCAAAAATGTCTGCTGGGCAGGGTGTAATTTTAGCCGACAGCTCTAAACCACTTAGGAAAGGCAACTTGTTCCCAAGCCAAGAGGACACCTTCTCTTTCAGATAAAAAGAGAGATTGCCCTGGACTGATGATTCCAGAGCCGACTGCCTCCTGGTTGGAGGTTCACCAGCGGCGTCCCCGCGCATCCCCAGGCCAGGCGGGGAGCCAGTGCCCTTCACCGTTCGGGCCACCGATACTTCAGCTTGCTCCCCGTGGGGCCCTGGGGCACACGGGCCACTGGGAGTTCTGGGGAGAAAACCAGAAGTGCGCGTGCGTGTGCGTGCGTGTGTGTGTGTGTGTGTGTGTGTGAGACAGAGAGGCCCTGGTCTGACCCCCGTGGGGCCCTGGTGGGTGACAGGCATCATGGGCATCCCAGCACAGCAGTCACCTGACCACGGCCCCACGAGAGACCCCAGTCTGCTCAGCACCAGAATCATGACAAATAATCAAGTGGCAGTCGTCTGAAGCCAGGGAGCCAGGGACGCCTTTTACGCAGTGGTGCCTGACGGGTGCAGAGGTGCTGGTGGGAAGAAGCCCGCGGGCAGGTCTGGGAGGCGGGCTTGGCCCGTGGCCCGGAGCTTGGTCACTCCACCTTCTTCTGCTCACTGTCCCTCCCAGCCCTCCCGGCCCAGCTGGGGAGCCCTCTTGCTTCTCTGTCTGGACCCCAGACTCTGGGACCACCTGCAGGGCCCCTCTCCCTCCTGGCGAGGCCAGGGCAAGCCTCAGGGTAGGGGCTGCAGACCACAGACCCGAGCGTCTTCACACACACGGGCCCTCCCTCCATCCCCGTCATCCCCACACCCTCCTTGGCCGTCTCCAGGCCCAGGGCCCTGCTGCAGGCTGCACACGCTGCGCTGTAGCCACACGCGTGTTCTGTGTGTGTCCCGGGCACGCTCGACCTGCTGGTCATCCTGGGGCTGGCAGGGATAAAGGGAGGAGGGCGGGGAGGAGCTGGTCGCTGTCTCAGTCCAGCAAGGCTCTGACCACAGGTGCAGCTTCTGACCAAATGTCAAAATAAAAGCCAGTCCACCCTGGGACAGAAGCCAAATGTCTCCCTCACAGGAAGTGCTTCTGACCAGTAATTGCACAGACACAATTTTATTATGCACAGACACAATTTTATTATTAGAAAGCAAATTAAAGTTTAAGGAGTTTGTGTAGCAAAGCTCATACTTCTAAGCACGCCAGCGGCTGGCCCCGCATCCCGCGTTGCGTCTGTGATGAGAGGATGCCTCTGATGCGGTTGGTGGGACGCAGGACACGTTGGGTCCCTTACATACTCTTCTTGTCCTCATACACGCTGTTTTCATACTTGAACCAAAGTGACATGTCCACGGATGGACTTTTTCCTATTTGTGAAATAAGTGGATGTCCATGTGGACTTTTTTCCTATTTGTGAAATTGCAAAGTTAACATTGAGCTTTTCATTCATTCTCAAAAGTGGAAAAGTATTCTCAAGTTAGAACTGTTCTTTACTTTCTAAATATAGGCAAATCACTGAAAATTCTCAAGCATGATTTGGTTTCATTTTATGCTTGTACACCAAATGATTTTATAGAGCTTGTAAACATGACATAACGTGGTCTCAAGTTTTCTGCCTCATGCTACCAGTCACATTGGTATATGTATTTTTTGATGCCTCAAAGTGTAACACCTCTGTGAAGCTCCCCCGCCTCTCTGACCGTCCAGCGTCAGCAGTGCTGGCCCGTGCTGGCGGGAGCTGCAGCCTCTTGTGGGACGGTCTGTGTGGCCCCGGGTACCCGCCGGCTCCTCCCCGCTGGTGGCTGAGCTGCGACCCGCATCTCCCTGGGCGGGACGGGTGTGCGGACCGGGAGGCGGGGTGGCCAGTGGAAGATGGGCGTCTCCCAACCTTGCTAAAGCTTGTGGACTTGGCCTTTGTTTCAGATCAAAGAATATGCTTCTGATTTCATATTTTTGGTAAAACTAAATTTGAAGCTACTTCTGTCTCCTGCTGCAAATATGCTGTGGCTGAAATCGAAGTTTAGTAAGCCGCGTGGAAGGACACAATCATTTCTGGCTTTGGCTGAACACTCACTAGGCAGGCAAAGCTTCTCTTACTGCCAAACTTGATTTCCCTTTGCTTGGCTTCGAGTCTTTCAGGGCCCGTGATAATGGCTTCCCTATGCTTATGGGAGCTTGGAAACCTTACTTTGGCCACGTGATGTGAAATACTGACTCACTGGAAAAAACCCTGATGCTGGGAAAGATTGAAGGCAGGAGGAGAAGGGGACGGCAGAGGATGAGATGGTTGGATGGCATCACCGACTCAATGGACATGAGTTTGGGCAAGCTCCGGGAGCTGATGACGGACAGGGGGAAACCTGGCGTGCTGCAGTCCATGGGGTCGCAAAGAGTCGGACACTAATGAGCTACTGAACTGAACTGAATTTAAAAAGACCTGCGTCTGTCTGACATTTACCCTCCACTTCTCGGCCCTGGTTTGGGGACAAGACTGGGATGCAGGGTTGACTCTGGGCAAAGAAGCCACTTTAGGACTATCAGCGGATTTGGCGTGGGGCAGGCAGACCAGGTGTCCTCTGGACAGAAGCTCTCCAGGTGACGGGGGTTGCCGCTATGTGTCATTTCTGTCTTCTGTCTTGTTCCACAATAGAACCAGGAGTGGTTTGCAAAGATGAACAGGTGGAGGGGATGATGGGGAGCAGAGTGCAGCCCAGGGGTGTGCCCTGTCTCTCTTGCTGTCTACCCCATGTTCCTGCCAAGCCTGAGGTCAGGTGTCTCTCTGGACGTGGACCCTGACGCTTCTGCAATGCTTGTTACAAACCCAGATGCCCAGCTTCTCTCAGTGAGCTGGGCCCTGGACTCTGCCCTCGGCTTCCCCACAGCCCCCATGGCTAGATGGGACCCCGGGTCCTGAGCCTGGGCGGCTGGCGGGACTTGGCGCCACCAGCTCGTGGCCGCCTTCCTGTGCCCATCCACCTGCTGCTCAGCCTCGTGTGCGGCAGGCCAGCTACCCTGGCCTTCCACCACCCGAGTGCAGTTGGGTATGTTGTGCACTGCACAAAGACCCTCGGCTGAGGGGACCAGCGGGGGCTGAAACCCACCTCTGGCCTGTGGGCCAAAGGAGCACACACGGACGCAGGGCCAGCAGCTGCTCTGGTGCCCACGAGCCGTCCAGGCCTCAGTGACACCTCCTCCCGAGTGACCACGCCGCCGGGGACTGACTGACCACGCAGCCTTGCCAGCCCTAAGCACAGGCAGCCCCGGCTGGGGTCCACAGGGCCAATCCCACCTGCTCTGTGACTCACCCCTCAGCTCTGCGCTCCGACTTTCTCTGGCGCCTCCCCCACCCTCCCTCCCCATCACTGCCCCACAGCCTCTCCACCCGCCTCTCCTGCTGCTTCTCCACCTCCTCATGCTGACACACGGGCACACACACGAGCACACATGTGCACACACTCGAGCACACACGCTCATGTATATGAGCACACACATGAGGAATCACACAAGGTACACATGCGCACACATACAGGAGCACACACGCACATACATGTGTGTACACGGGCACACACAAGCATACATGCACACATGAGCACACCCATGGGCACACACACACATGTGTGTGTACACAGGCACACTCAAGCATACATGCACACATGAGCATACCCATGGGCACACACAAACACACACACGCACACACATGTGCATCCCCTCTGCTGACCGCATGCCCGCCCCCTCCCACCTGCCAACACTGTCTCTCTGTGTCCCCCTGTCCCCAGCAGAAGGTCTTCTGTGAGGTCAACCTCTTAACAGGGGTCTTGCAGCCCCTCCGGCAACCCTCGTTGGGATGTCCTCACCTCTGCAGGGCCAGCCTTCAGTCCTGGGCCTTCCAGATGCTAAGCCCCCTGAGCCTGGAGGGGCCAGGATCCTCGGCCTCCCACTGGGTCCCACTTGCTATGAGACTGCGGGAATTCTCTGTAAATCTTGACTTTAGGATTTTGGAGTTGACCGAAACAGCCTTGTTTCTTGGTATTCTGAATATTTTCATTGTTTCTTAGTGAGAATGTGTTCTGATAATAAATACACATTTGAACATACAAAACTAATTATCAAATGAGATTAAACAAGGCATTGGCTGCCGACGTGGTGAGAGGGAAGGGACCACGTCCGCCACCCGCCCTCCTGGCTGCGGCTCCCGCTCAGGGCCCAGCACATGGTGGGCATGGTGGGGGCACTGTCTGCCTGCAGGAGGCGGGAGGGCGCAGGGGAGCCCTGGAAAGGCCCCCGGGGACCCTGCTCAGGGGTGGCCTGTTCCTCCTCTGCTGGGACTGACCAGTCTGACTGCTCGTGGATCGATTTTTCTAATTTCCATGAAAAGGGAAAGAAAATGAGAGTGTGTGAAGCCCTCAGAGCACCAGAGGGAAGCAGGCTGGCTGCAGACAAGCGGAGGGGGGCTTCTCAAGGTGGCTGCGTGGCAGGCGGGGCCCAGTGGCCCCGGAGGAAGCAGCCGGGGCTGATCCCAAGCTCGTGTGGCCGAGGCGGGTGAGGGCTGGCCTGCCCGGGGCTGGGCAGGAGACGTGGCTGGGCCCCGTCCATGCTGGTGGGGGGACCGTGTCCCTCTTCTTCTAAACCTGGGGACAAACCGGGGGCTCAGCTCAGGGCGGAGGCCGGGCGTGAGCACACCAGAGGCTGTGGCCTCGCGAGGGTGCTTCCTCTCCTGGGATCGTTTACAGGAGTCAAGAGAAAGAACCCCAAACATCCTGCCACCAGGCATATGACAAAGTCGGTCTGACGGACTCGGGGCCTGATGAAACAGCGTCTGTGGACGGGAGAAGCTATTTTCAATGACCTGATAAATTATCACTATATTGTGACTATGATTGTGTCAGGAAATAAAGTAGAGACGGGAGGAAATGTTCAAGAAAGATGGGTTTCACTTAGACATTGAGCCAGTGCAGACCCCGAGACGTGTGTGCAAGCTGCTCTTTCAAAGCAGACGCCTCAGCAGGGAGGAGAGACAGACGGACAGGCAGAGGACAGACAAGCAGAGAGAGAGAGAGTCGGCAGCGGGGCTGGACACGAGGCAGGGTGAGCGGAGGGGGGCGAGCCCAGGGCGGCGTGGAAGTCAGGTTCGGCCGCGGAGGCACCTCTCGCCTCCTCTCGTCCTGAGAACCGGCCCCCTCGCAGCGGCCTCTCTGGGGACTCGGCTTCTCTCTGAGGCGGAAGCAAACCCGCCAGCCCGCGGCGCCCCGATGTGTGCGGAATGGATTCTGGAAGTCTGGGTTCCGGACAAGAGGGGCCCGCGGGGCCCGGCGGTCACGGCCCGGCGGAAGCGCACAGTCCCGGCTTCTGAGAGCGCTGTCCGCGCCGGCTGCGGCATCCATCGGCGGCGCTCAGCCACGCAGACAGACGACACTCACCATATGGTTTGTCTAAGAAACGGAGCGGCCTAGACGGCGAAGACCAGTCTCTAAACAAATACCCCGAACAAAATGAAAACCAGTCATTGTCGAGGAACAAAGGTGTAATCACATTCTAATTTTCTATTCCAGTAAACATCTTTGAATTAATGCCTGTACCGCTAATTATGAAGGTTTTTTATTAGTGTTCTACTTGATTAATAAACACACAACATAGCCGACACATAATACTGCTGTCACTCGCCGGCGGGATGAGAGCAGGGAGGCAGCTGGGAGCAGAGGTGAGCAGACCGGCTTTGAAAGGCGCGGGTGTCACTTTTGTAAGAAAAAAGTAAAGCTTCCTGAACGTGCCCTCTCTGCGTGCCCAACCCAATAAATCAGATCAACAGCACCGACTCTCGGGGCCTGTCCTGGCCAGGGTTGGGCAGAGGTTTGCGGGGACCATTTTCAGCCACGACCCTGCAGAGGAAACGCTGCTCCCAGCCATGGAGACAGAGCAGCCTGGACATGGGGTGGGCCTGGGTGATCCAGCTGCAGGATCTCAGCGGTGCCAGGCAGAGGTGGCGAATGGACTTGGTGTGGGCGGAGAGGGGGATGCTGACCCCCGTGACCTGGGTGTCTCAGGGGAGGATGGAGAATTCTCTCCAAGCACTGACCTCGAGAGCAGGTTGGGGTGCCTGAAGACATTGTGGTTAGTTTTTGGGGGGCGGGGCTGGAGAGTGATACCAGGGGAGGGGCAGACTCTTAGAGTCAGGCTGTGGGCTGCTCCAGGGACCCCACGTCCTCACGTGAGGGCTCAGGGCTCCCAGGGGAGGCGGGCGTTGTTAACAAGGCTGGATCTGCTAGCTGGTGTGTGGCTGTCCCCCCACCCCCTCCCATCTTCCGGGAATTCCAGCGAGCCCGCCCCCGCCCCTGACACAGACCCCGGGGTCTGGAGAAGAGCTGGGCACCCCGTGGATGGCCTACTTTACGGCACTTGATAGGTGGGCTGTTTGCTTTCTCTTTGCCAGATTGCATCTAACAGCTTGTGAAAGGCACCATCATCTCAGGCAGCAGTGACGGTTCAGCCCCGAGGTGTCGCAGAGGTGAGCAGTGAGACGCCTGCTCCAGCATGCTCTGTGCCCAGGGAGACGTGGGGGTGTTGGCGAGTGTCAGGACGAACTCGGAGCCTGTGTTGTCCCAGGTGTGCTCTGAGAGCCGCCGAGCCCGTGAAGAGGGCTGGCTCACCCCCCAGGACCCTCTTCATGGGCCCCTTGGGAGCACTGGGGTCCAAGGCAGCATTGCATGTTGCTCTGTGGCCCCCCAGGAACCCGTGTTTCCTGGTGGATCTTGAAGACCAGGGACTGAACCTCCCACCGCATGGCCCACCCCCAGCAGGGTATGCACATGGCACACACTAATTGCTGGGTATTGTCGGGGAAGAGCACCCTCCTCATGGTTGGGAGACTCATAGTCTGGCTCCCTGGTGCCAATAAAGAAGGAAGGCTCAGTTCAGTTCAGTCACTCAGTCATGTCCAACTTTTTGTGACCCCATTGACTGCAGCACGCCAGGCCTCCCTGTCCATCACCAACTCCAGGAGCTTGCTCAAACTCATGTCCATTGAGTGGGTGATGCCATCCAACCACCTCCTCCTCGTTTGTCCCCTTCTCCTGTCTTCAATCTTTCCCAGCATCAGGGTCTTTTCAAATGAGTCAGTTCTTCGCATCAGGTGGCCAAAGTATTGGAGTTTCAGCTTCAGCATCAGTCCTTCCGATGAATATTCAGGACTGATTTTCTTTAGGATGGACTGGTTGGATCTCCTTGCTGTCCAAGGGACTCTCAAGAGGCTTCTCCACCTTGATAATAAAACTTCACACAGTGCCTCTGCCAGCTCTGAGCTGGAGCCGGGCATGGGCAGGGTGCTGAGGGCCCGGCTCTCCTGGCTGAGACGGGGGATGGAATGTGGACTCTGATGCAGCCTTGGCGTCCGCCCTGGAGGAGGCTGCCACTCCTGCAAGCCTCGGCACCCTCTTCCGGGCCCTGGTTCAGGGCATGAGTCCTGCCCGCTGGGACCTGCATGAGGTCACGTCGCACGCTCACTGTGTGTTTCCAGCTCCATCCTCCAGTCCACAGCTCTGGCTTCAGCCTGCTGCCTCCCTTCTGTCTCGTCTGGACTGCCTGTAAAATGAGAGCCGGCCCTCTCTGGTTTCTGAACAACTGCTCCCCTTGGGTTTTCTTTCAGAGCTTGGTTGGGTTCTTTTCCTTTCTCCTTCCAGTCTCATAAGCTATAATTTACATACACACGGGGTAAGTAAGGCATGTAGCGGAATGACAGGACACATACATCATGAAATGATGACCACAGTAATTATGGTGAACACCTGCCATTTCAAACAGATACAAAATTAAAGAAACAGAATTTTTTCCTTGTGATGAGAACTCTTAGAATTTACTCTTAACAACTTTCCTATATAACACAGTGTTGATTATATCAATCACATTGTAAATCACATCGCTGGTACTTACTTATCTTACAACTGGAAGCTTGTACCTTTGACGGCCTTCATCCACTTCTGCTTCCTCCCACCTCCCGCCTCTGGTAACCACAAACCTCATCTCTTTTTCCACAAGTTTGTTGGTTTTTGAAGTAGCATTTACCTTCAACGCTATGTAAGATCTTGTTACACAACATAGTGGTTCAATATTTCTGCACATTTCAGAACCGTCTCCGGGATGTCTGGCTACCACGTGGCACTGTGCAAAGATGGTAGGTAGTTGCTGACTTCACTTCATCCGGAGACTCGTCCTTTGTACCTGGCAGCCGCCCCTCCCAGCCTCCTGCACGCATCTCTGTCTCCCCCTCTGGCAGCCTGTCCTGTTTCTCGGATGCTGCTTCTGCCTCGTTGGTTTGTTGGTTCTTTCTCAGAGCCCCTTGCTCTTTGCTTTGTTCTGGTCTTCCTCACTGCCGTTTACGGTGTTTCAACCTACGACTGTCTTCCCGGGTTGCGTCGCCGCGCATCATCACAGCGGTGACCTTGGCCTCCCGGGCTTGGTGACGGTTCATCCGGAGCTGAGCACCACAGGGACGTCTCCTCTGGGGCTTGCACGTGGTCCATCTGAGTCGTTGTCCCTCCATGAGGTGGAGACCTCAGGGCTTCGTCCGCGTCTCATCGGATTTTCATCCTGTTCACGTCAAGTACTCCCTGAGCCCTGTGGGCGTGGGGAACAAGCTCCAGCCTCTCAGACAGGGTGCCCACCTTCTTCGGGCTGAATGGTGGGGCCGAACTTTCTCCAGACTTCTCCATGGTCTCGAGGCAGAGGCGTACCACAGCTGGCGCGTGTGGACTTGCAGGAGCAGACTGTTAAATTTTTGGGAGTGCTACAAGCTGGTTGTTAAATATAGCCACGATTAAAGTCAAATTATGTTAACTGACACATTAGATGAAGACATACGTGATAAACACTCAAAACCTGTCCCTTCCTGTTTGGAAGGCAGTTCCCTCTTGTGACTCCAGGAGCTGTCTTCGCAGCTTACTGAGTGCGCCGGCATTAACACCATTCCTGGCGGGTGTGTTTGTGGCCCAGAAATCAGCAAGTCTGGCCAATCAAGGCTTTACTGTTTGGGGGATTGCCTAGACCTTAAGCACGGGCAGGGAAGACACTGCTAACGCGGATAAACGTAAACGCATGTGGCGTCTGCAAGCCAGAGTCTGAAGAGCACGCGGACACGTGGACATGGCCCTCCGGGCCCCGAGACCATGACCCAGCTCCACAGAGGAGTCGCCGGCCCGCGGATGAGCATGTCCCCGCTGCCCTGCCGGGCTGGTGAGCGGCCGCCAGTGTGCACGGGGGCGCCGCCGAAGCGGGACTGCCCGGCACAGAAGCCGGCTCCTGCAAGCCCGTCAGCTCGGGGTGCCGACGGCAGGAGGCTGGCTGTGTGCAGCCCCAGCCCCCTCCTGTGCTGGCCCTGCGTGGACACGTGGACGCGGCCCCCCAGCCCGAGGGCCCGCCCTCCCTCCGCATCCTGTCTGTCTTCAGAGCTGGCTCCGCAGGACACTTCCAAAGTTCATTTCGCTCAGCACCCCTGAGCACCCTGGTCGGAGGGGCCTCTTGAGGCCCACGCAGACTCTCACACGCGTGTGTCTCGAGACGTGTCACCCGTTGTCAAGTGCGCGGGTATGAATGACAGCGACTCCCAGCACACGGACAGCAGAAGTGAGCTGGACCCGGGGTGGGACCCTGATGAGAAGCAAGCTCGGGGAAGGAGGGCCCTCGGGCCGGAGCCAACGGAGCGGAGGCGGACGCCGCGCAGCAGAGACGGGGCGGGGGCGGGGCTGGCTTCCCAGAAACAAACACCCGCGTCTGCTCCGGCGCCGCGCCGCAGACCCCCGTCTCACCACCGCCGGCGGAGACAGACCGCACAGAGGAGAGCGGGGCCCCCGGGCTGAGAGGCTCCTGGGGCGGCTCACGTCTCTGTGAGATGCAGGAGACCCCCACCCCTGTGGGCGGCAAGGACGGGCCACCGCTCCCGGGCGCTCCCTGGGCAGACGCACGCAGCCAAGAGGTGGCAGGGACACCGGAGGCGCAGCGCGCCCCGACGTTCGCCCGAGACTGTTCCATCATTTTTTAGTGAATATACGCAGCCACACTCGACACTTTGGCGCCCTATACACACCCCTTTCTGCGAATAAAACTGAAACTCAGTATGTAGCTCCATGGATGCACACACTTTGTTTCGGCATCTAAACGCCCACACCTTCAGGAAACAGGATGGATGGGACAAAGAAACAAAACAAAACTGCTCTTTCATCCAAATAAAGACCATTCAAATGTGAAATCAGAAGTTTAATCAGACACAATTAAATATATTTGTATATCTCACACTGAAGAAACATACAATGTTAGAAATTACAAGTAGGTATATGCTTCCTATGTTCAGATAAACTCGTTTCCATTAATTGTTTGGATTCCAGGTAGAGAGAAACAGCTTTGGGAAGGAAATGATAGATATATTAAAGCAGATACACACAACAACATCGTTTAAAGACACAAACAGTATTTTGGCATCTTTCTCCCCATTCGGTCGGCCACCTTCCCTATTCCCTTTTTTTGAAACTTGGCATCTATTTAAGATGAAAGAACGGTGTCCCACACAGGAAACAGAGGGCCCAGGGTCACTGGGAGCAGTTTACTCCTGAAAGCGAGGCCAAGGACACACAGAACAGTCTGCACACCTCCCTAGGCATTTAACTGTCCTCGGTTCAGTGAAGTGCATTCTTGTGTTTTGGGGTGTGGGTGGTAACTTTGGTGCCCAAGTGCTATGTTGGCAAATGTGAAGGATCACTTGATGCGTGTCTGTGTGACATCAGACGGGATCCGCCTGAGGTGCCAGGAACCTGAGCCCCGGGAGGGGCCTGGCTGCCACTGTGTCCCAGATGCCTGGATCCCACGTAGGCAAGAAGCAAAAAGCCGCGGGTCTCCTGGCACATCCCCCATGATGAGGGCACTCCTGGTCCTCTCTGGAGGCCAGCAGGCCCCACGCCTTCCTGGGGAGGGGACCACATAGGCCTGCCCCCCATTTTCGTTACCCCTCAGGGAAGTGTTTAGCTGCATTCTTGCCTGGGCAATCCCATGGACAGAGGAGACTGGCGGGCTACAGTCCATGGGATCATAAAGTCAGACACGACTGAAGTGACTAGCACACACGTATAAGCCCCTCTTTGTAGTTAAAAACCGTGTCTGGAGGTTGGGGCTCTGCCAGAGCCTTGCCAAGTGTCCCTGGGCTGCTGGCCTGGGAGGAGGTACTCTAGGTGGGAAAGTGTTTGCCCCTGGGCCCCTGGCTGTCCTGGGGGAGTGGAAGTTTGGGAGGGGCTGTCACTGTCCCCTAACAGTGCTTGGGGGAGGGTGTGCAGCAGCCTAGATCGGACGAGGAGCTGGCACAATTGTCTTTTATGATCTACCCCAAAGCTGCAGAATGCCACCATCACGTCCACCTAACTCCTGAAGAAGCCGGCGGTTTCTCCTGGTGGTACACAGACAAATGTGTCTTCTACTGGGGGTGGCCTGGTGGCCCCTCTGGGCTCCACCCCACATGGCTGACCCTCCTTCAGAAAGTGACAGATTACAAACCAACCCTCTTCTGGGGACCTTACTGACAGTGCCGTCCGTACCACCTGATTGGCAATTAAGAACATGGATGTGTGTGTTAAGGAAAAATAAAGTTTTTTCAAGAAATCGAAAATAGAAGAACTGATTGCCCCCCATCATTGCATTTGCCCATAGATCTCCCTTTATCATTATTTGGCTGAACAAAAACACACATTTCCACTGCTAAGCTGCATTGACTGTAGGAGAGTCCTAAGGACTAGATCACCAGGCATTTGACTAGAGATGCAGTCACGTCGTCGGTGGTCGCCGACAGGGCCCCCGGTCGTGGGCGCCTCCGGCTTCACTGGGGAAAGGCTTTGAGGATGGCGTTCACCTCCTCGGCCACGGCTGTCAGGGCAAACTCGAACTGCTCCTGGAGGGACAGAGGAGGCAGACGTGAGCGGGGCCCCTTCTGCTCCAGCCGTGGGCGCCCGTGTGCCATCCTGCAGAGAGAAGCTGTTTAGGGAGGAAAGGGACGAGCTGCAGACTTCCGAGGGAGGCGGGCAGGGTGCGGGTTTGCGGGACGAGAACCGGTGCAGACAGGCTGCGCGTCTCGTGTTCATCTCCGCGTCTGTCGCTGGAGAAGCTGGGGTGGATGTGTGCGTGGGACAGCGGCTGCCACAGGCTCCGTGTGCCCCCTCCCCCAGCTCCTTCTGACCCCAGCCCCAGCGGGGCCCCCGAGGGGCGGGGCTGGACGCAGCCTCCCGTCCTTCTGAGACTCACTTTAAATGGTCACAGTCACGACCCCTCGGGGTTCCCTGGCCTCAGAATGGAAAGGATGGTACTTGTGCTCTTTGAAAATCCACCCACCATCCGGCTCAATCCGACTCACTTCTGTTTGCCAAGAAAACTCGTCTCACCCTCAACCGTGCCAGCTTAAGCACACGTGTGCCGATAGACACCAGTGAACCCAGGATGGGACATGCTTAACTGGGGCCGAGTCCCGGGTGTCGGAACCATCCGCTCCTCCAGAAATGGGCCTTGGCAGACAGAGGATAAGCCCACCTGTCCTGTAGGCTCCCTGGGTCCACAACCTGCTCCCAGCTTGGCATGAAACATTCAGAGCAGTGTACCCAGTACTTCCCCATCACACAAAAGAAATGACAAAAGAATAAACTATGCAAACGCTCCCTGAACAGCAGTTAAGGATTTTTCATGGAGGAGAGCCCTATCAATGGCTTAGATACTTGATAACTCCAGTCATTGACAGACTTGAGTCCAATGCCAAAAAGACTGATAAGTTTCCACTTTGAACGACCGGTATATGACAGAAACGTATGCGCTGTTCTGTGCTTTGTTGCTCAGTCGTGTCCGACTCTTTGCGACCCCATGGACTGTAGCCCGCCAGGCTCCTCTGTCCATGGGATTCTCCAGGGAAGGATACTGGAGTGGGTAAACAGTCCCTTCTCCAGGGGATCTTCCTGATCCAGGAATCAAACCTGGACTGCCAGGCCCAGGGAAGCCGCCTCCTGCCACCGTCTCTCAAGCCAGCGGTCAGCCAGAGGGCATGGTGTGTGCAGGACACCGCCCCAGACACGGGCGCAGCCTCCCTGGATGCCTCCTCTGGCATGGCGGTCTGCTGACAGCAGACTGCAGTCTTGCGATGACGCAGAAATGGGACAGGACGCAGGGCGGCTCTTTGGGTCCTGCTGCTTAGTAAAGTGACAAAGGCGGGGCAGACCTGCCCTGTGCCCCGACCGCGATCATTAAACCCTCTCTGCTCATTGACCGCGTGGTGGACGGGGCCTGGGGCCAAGTAGGGCCATTCACAGCACTGCCGAGGTGCTGGCCGGCCAGGAGGGCAGGCCGCAGGCCTCACAGCCCGGGGCTCGCAGGACTGGGAGGCGGTGCATGAGGCAGCAGGTCAGCCAGAGACAACCTGCTTCTCCTTCCTGGGCAAGAGCTGCCCCTGCCCTCAGCCCAGGTTCTGGGCCGCGTGGAGCTGTGAGGCTGCTGGTGGACGCAGGGCCAGACGCTCCCGGGCGGCAAGCCGACCCTGGATTTCTGGATGAGCAGGCCACCACCCGTGGCATGGGCAGTTCAGCAGGTAGGCCCCGCCAGGGGCACTGGACCCGTGGGCTGCCTGTCACTGGGATGGCAGATGGTGTGGGCAGGGTCCAGCTCTCCCCAGGGCCCCGCCAACCGCCAGCGGAGAACGGTGGCGGCCACAGAGATCCAACCGCCAGGCGGGTCCTCTGGTTCTGCCCGGAACAGTTCCCCGGCTCTACATGGAGGAACTGAGTTGGTTTTGCCTCCATGCTTGGGGCTGACTTTGACAACGTGGAGCCAGCCAAAGGGGCCCTTGAAGGTGTTCTGAGAAATGACCTTTGGGGTCCAAGTGTGCTCGCCGGAGCTTACGGGGCTCTGGGCTCCTTCCCTCCCAACAGAGCGGGCGGAGTGAGGACTGTGCTTCCTCCCTCGAGGCTCAGATGCTGCCCGTCCCATCTGTGGCACGGAGCAGGGCCCAAGAGCTGCTTACACCCTGTGGGGACAGTAAGACCCTGAGCTGGGACGACAGGGGTCCCAGACCCTCACTACTCAGCTCCAGAGCACAACGCGGGCTGGTCTCCCGGGAGAGCTTTTATAACTTTTATGACTGAAGTCCTCTGCAAGGGCGGCTTTAGTGGAGGCACTAACAGCACCCGGAGAGTCCGGGCCACACCAGGAAGGAGAGGGTCCTGTGTTTATGACTGCAGGACGTGTGTGTGGGGTGTTTGTGGGTGGACACGGACACTTCTCCAACACTAAGGGGACGGGCCATCACGTGAACCTTGGTTCCAGCTCCAGTGAACCCAAGGCTGTCCAGGGATCTTTCGTCTCTGCTCCTTTTGCTGCAAACTTAGCCTTTTCAATAAGCTACTCAGGGTGCTCAGGGGCCCAGCACGGCCCGGGGACACTCTGGTGACCGCTGTCCTGATGACCTCACAGCAGAGCTGTGGCTGTGGGCTTGGGCGGGCAGAACATTCCACCCACATCTCTGGCCTCTGATGGGGAGAGCGCGCTGCTCTCCCGCTCCCCTGTCCGGCACATGGAGGGTCCCAGGCCCTGAGGTCTGACTGCATCTGCTCAGGCTAGAACGTGGGGGCTGTGGCTGGAGCTGCCCCGACCTCCTGGGATGGACAGCCCACGTCCAGTCCCGAGCGGAGTTGGCGTGGGAGGCAGCTGGCCGGCCTGCCCCTCGCTCCTCTTGAGAAAACCGCCCCCCATGAGCCCCGAGCCCCAGGCCCGGCTACGTGTACCTTGGTCTGGACCATGCTCGGCCGCTGGTCCCTCAGGTGCTCCAGGGTGGCGGCGATGTCAATCTCCTTGGCGCCTGCAACAGACAAACACCGGGCTCAGACAGGCGCAGCGCACGCCGGTGAGCCTCACCCGCTGCCAGGGCCTCTGGGCTCAGTGGCCAGATGACAGTGACCGTCATCCTATGGCCGCCTGGCCGGGAGGGGCATTTCGGGTTCACACAGGAACACAGGGCAAGGCGGCTTTCATTTGTGTTGGCTCAAGAAAGCTGGGCTGAAGCTTGCTATCAGAGGCAGATACACACACCCACGGCGAGCCACGGCCAGGACAGACTAGGGCTTTGCTCGGCTTTATCTGGTGGCATTTTAAGACTTTTGTATTTTTTTGGCTGTGACACTTGCAAGATCTCTGTTGCCCGATCAGGGACTGAACCCTGGCCAGGGCAGTGAATGCTCTGAGTCCCAATCACGAGGCCAGCAGGAAGTCCCCAGGAAGTTTTCAGTCAGAGAACGGAGCACATAAGCTTTACCTTCTCTTGCATAGGATTTTCACTTAGAGAAATGGAAAGGTAGACTAACCTTGTCCACCTTATACCCCTAACGCTGGCTTCTAAAGAGCTGCCTTAAGGAGCGAGTGTTCCGAAAGCTAAGGAAGGCTGAGGCACCCGTGTACTCACGGGTGGGTTGGCGCTGTGGCCCAGCGCCCCTCAGACACGCCCGCCCCCCCGGCTCCAGGTGCCTCGGGGGCCACAGAAACAATACTATTCGAGTTAAAAATGCAATCTCATGAATTATGAATTCCACATATACTCTCACTTTCCTGTTTTGCCAGGACCTCTGGGAGGTGAACAGTGAACTGGGCTGGGTCCCCAGTGCCGGAGCCTCTTACAGGTCAGAGGTGAGCGTCTGCAGTGCGATCTTGGGAGACGCGGGGGATGGGCGGACGGCACAGTGGGGTGGCTGGGACCCACCCACCAGCCCCTCAGTGGGTAGGTGTCCTGTCAACACTTCCTCTCATGTATCAGGCCGGTTACCACCCGCCATTCAGAGGAAATCAAGGCTTGTCCGGGTCGCAGAGCTGGTGATCGTCGGACCCAGACGTGGAAGAGACCCGGGGCCGGCCGCCCCCCGGGGCAGCCCAGCCCCACCTCCATCACACCTGCGTGCGTGCGGTGTGGATTCATCAGACGGAGATGAGCCTAGCCCTTTACAATGACCACTTCGGGGGTCCAGACCTAACCCCTCTCTTCTCTCTTAAGTTTGCTCAGGTGCATCTTTGTG